CATTCTTCTCCAGTATCACGCCGACGTAAATATAATGGGTATGAACATCGCCTGTGAAGAAAGCAAACACTGACAAAGTCGGGACAGATGAACTCCAAAAAACACCACTTCAAAGGGCGAGAGACTTTGAAAGAGTGGTGGTTGAGGAAATTTTTGCAAAACACGGCAAAAATTAGTATGCCAAGGAACTCCCTCCAACATAAAAGCCCGAGTTATCTAGCAAATTCAATCGTTCCAGGCTGCATTCAATAGTTATCGTACCAATTTAGATCAGTCATGTATGTATTGATGCCTACTTCAATATGTCAAGGACTATAACAGCGGTTACTGGCTACGAAGAAGAGGGTTACCAGCCAAATGCGTAAAAGTGTGTTGGGTATCGTTCAAGAAAATGTAGATCAAAGCTCAATCCGAAGCAATCGGAGGCAAAGCCACAATGAACTGGGTGTATCTGATACAAATTTGAAGATTTCGTCAAAGAAATCTAACCAGCTGATTCAAAGGCAGACTCTCACAATTCTGAGGCCTCGAGTTTGAACCTGAGCTGACCTTCGCTATGTAAATCCTTACATGTCATAACCAGTCTGTCATCCAGGTTTTGCATGAGCTCGACGTCTTGCTCGAGCTGTTTACAATTCAAAGGCACTGCAACACTAATGAGTCTTAACACGGAGAATATACATTGCAAGAGGTTTATCTAGAGCGAGCATGCGTTCACGAGAAGTAGTAGATTTACTGAAAGCCTCGTTCACACGATCGATGACTGCTTCCTTCTTCCCACACCATCTCTGGCGTCCGCCCAGCTGATTATTTCTGACAAGTGAATAACCAGCAACGATCAAAGCAGCAATGGTTCTTGGATGCTCTCGGATCCACCTCTTTCCAGAGTTGATGATGACCGTAGTGTGTTGAGTACTTGGGGATTTGAGCACAGGCTAGCAAATAGTCTGTTCCTCCACTGTTAGATAGACTAGATCATGTCAAAGAAAACTGTCTTACGCATAGGATTCTGCATTCTCATGCGTATTTAATACGGAATTTCTAACGAAAACAAACTTTCGGTCTCTCTCAACTTGCCGTTTGGTTCGGTGCATATTGGCATCCGACACGTCTATAAAGAGGGAAAACACAAGATAACTCAGCGGGCAGCTTCTTATGGAAGTTTTTTTACTTACAACCATAGAGCGAGTATTTGAGCTCTTTGGATTCAACGTCATTTGGTTTGATAATCCTCCAGTCCTCACTCACAGTATCCCCTGTGGAGCTAAGTTGATGCCTAGATTCATGAATAATTGTGGCGGCACGCCCCATATTATTCAGTTCCTCATTACCAAATCCTTTTGCAACCAGAATGTCAGTCAGTGCATAGTGTTAGACGAAATACCAGCAATACTGATTTACTTACCATGAAAGCGGTAACTAAATTTCGCGCGAGATGGATAGTATTGTCCACCTATCTTGTACCAATCGATGACACCTATTATGGGGTTCCCCGGACGCAATACGTACGCCCCGACTTTCGCTTCCAGGATGCCGGTCTCAAGGGCTGCTATTGTTTTCCTAACCATTGTAAAACTGGCATTTTGACCAAAGGCAGCATGGTAGACTTCAACCGCCAGCCCAAGGCGATTACGGATTGTCAGGTGGCATTATATCGTGTTTCCAATCTGCAAATTGGCAGCAGGGAGAGGTTAGCAATGTCGAGGCATGCAATGAAGTATTTGAACATACATACCATCAAAGACTCCTTGGTCAAGCCTGGCGTTTTCCATTTCCTCTGGTGCTAGATCCTCAGTCTTATCGTAGGCGATTGTCAAAGAAAATACAGCGTCAAGCACTTATCAGATAATGTGTTGGAATGGAACATAGATACACACCTCCGATAATAGAGAGTTCAAGGAAGAAGCGCAAAAGAGAGAGGTACATGAGTGAAAGAAGGGTGTCCTGTCTGCATCGTGAGGATTTACCGAGACCCGACACTATTTTACAGAGCATTAGTCCTGGGTCATCAGAGTATAATCTACACTCAATTGTTGTGGGTGGGCCTGTCACGATTCAGTCATGCTTCCTTTCAAAACACATCGGACAAACTTGTTACATTCCCGCTGCTGGCCCAAGGGCCAATGGCCAACAGCTTGCTGAGAGGTTAAAGCGATCTGAACAGTTCGACAGTTTGAGGATGCACTATAATTCGATAGTGATCAAATAACAAATTCGTCCAGTAGAATAAACCTAATATTACCTGCGATGTCACGTGGATCATAGAATGAACCAGCTTTGGTGTTTTAGAATTTGAGGAGCATAAAATGATATCGTATGTACTTGCTCCGCATGGCAAGGTGCCCAGGAAGTGAAGTCACAAAGCTCAGAAAGCGGATATGGATAGCACTGTCGGCGAAAGAAATGCGCCGTGAGCGTGTGTGAAGGCTGTGCATGCTGTCAGGTAGTAGGAACCACATAAATCCAAACGTGCACAGGAACGACGTTGTTGACACTTCAGGATGGTTCATGAGTGTTTCAGAAAAACAGTTGTTAGATACCTGTTTGTAATTTCTAACATGAATTTCCTTTAAATAAAATTTATTTTGTTTTCAGAGAAAGATTTGAGATAAACTTGAAGTTATCTGTAACTGTTTCTTGCAGAAAACTTGTGGTTTTTCTGCCTGTGTTTCTAAAGATAATGCCAAGAAACAATTTAAGTGTTTTTCTCTTTGTGACCACAAAGGAGAACAATGGAAGGGAAAACTTCAAGTATTTCTCAGCTGTATATTTAGAAAGACTAGCAGAAAAACCTCAAGATTTTCGCAACAAACTCTTCAAGAAAACTTCAAGACTTTTTTAAATCTTTCTCAGAAAGAATATAAAATTTATTTCATAGAAACTCATATTAGAAATTACACAACAGGTATCTAATCAATGTTTCTCACATAAATCTGTGAACCATCCTGAAGTGTGAGAGGAAAGAAACTAGATATATTCACAATGACACATTCAAGAGTAGCAATATGTGTAGCAAGGGCGTATGAGTTTATGCGAAGCAGGTGCGGCCAGCGAAACGTCGCAACTGTCAAGAGCAAAGGTAAGGGCTCCGTCTGTCACAGTAGAGGTCCTTGAAGTTCGGTCGAACTGCGCTCCAGTCTGGTCCACGCTTCACTTATCACTGTTCAACTAAGGTGTGTCAGATCAGAGAAAAGAAAGTAGGCGATTCACATTTTTTTTAGAGGTGCGGTAATCGATAAATCAGAGAGTATATATCGCAAGATGGTTGTACTTATAGAGCACGCTTGTAGGTGGTTTGTTGGTGTTGTACATAGTTATGAACCGTGACCATTGGCACAGGGATTGATGGCTGTAATTCCGAAGACCACCCATCTTACCATCATCCCTGTACTCACCCTGGCACTGGCGCTTGGAAGCGCCTGTAGCATCAACAACTCATGCCTGGGAACTGCTTCTATATTCTGACTCTCCCCCAATCTCAAGGAACCCGGATACTTATAATATTGCAGCAAGTTCAATCGGCGCAGATCTCAAGAGCTGTGAGTAAACATAGTTTTCTGGGTCTCAGATGGTGTCTAGAAACCAACTGAGGCCCTCAGTATGACTAGGGGCCGTAAGAAAGATACTACTGCCCCGCCGAACCGTGCTGTCACTTAACAAAAGGGATACCGTGCAAGATGACTTCAGTATGTCACAGATCTGGAGGAGAGGCTTCAAAAGGCTGCGGAGAAGAATCAGCGATTGAGGAATGCGCTACAGTGGAATCCGAGCATCAAAGCCAACGAAGAATGCTATGGTTCGCCAACCTTTTTACGGTGGATATTGGGAGGCCAATATGTTCCAATGATTGTTATAGGCACTTATATAGTTTGACCTGATGCGAGACCTTTTCAAGGCGTCTGCATTGCTGGACTTATTCCGTTGGCTGGCAGATCCTCAGGACGGAGATCATTAACAGCTGTTCATGTCACACGCCCTTGCACATGCCCAAGTTCATTCGGATCGTTCACATCTCCAGCCGTACCTCCTACCCAACTTTATGCTACTATGAGCTCCATTTCAGACCCTCGGTACAGCTGTGCATCAAAACAACCATCTTCCTGTTTTGCGCCTACCAACCGGGGAGCTCGAGCACAAGCATGTAAATGAATGATGTTCGTGACAGCAGATCTCGTCTTCCAGCTCCCGGTCATCGAACTGCTGTGATGGTGGTGACCTCGTTATCTACGTCAACCACCAAGTGATAGACGATCTCAAGTTACTGCGATCGGAACGTGTCGAGCAGATGCCCTTGGTCTCGGAGACGGATCGATCGTATGTAATGGGCCCACTGCTCCCGTGTGCCATGCTACACAAAGCTCTCACGTGTTGGGATCATGAGTCCGTCTTACTCTCACCTTGAGATCGTGTACGCCACAATCCTGATCTGTAACTAATTTTCGCCTCTCATCATATTCATATGCTACAGGAAATCAGCTCAAAATTTGCAACTCTTCATTAAAGGCTTCACACCTCCTGCTAGAGGTCTTCCTGGACCCGGGCGCGAGGGCCGTGCCTCTGGCACTCAGTGCAACGGTGAGATGGCCGAGCGGTCTAAGGCGCCAGACTAAGGCTTCACATTCCTTCATCTGGTCTCTTCGGGGGCGGGAGTTCGAATCTCCCTCTCATCAGTTAGAGTGTCGAATAGATATTTCTGGCTCTGTGTTTTCGTCTGGACACCCTTTTGTAAGCAGGAAGCAACGCCATTTATACTTCCTGATGGTGCAGCCCAAATGTATCTCCTATCCCGGCCCCAAGCCATCAATGGTATTCATTCAGGTTGGATCACGACAGACACAGTTTTTTTTCAAGTCGAGAAGGATGGTTTCGCTAGACTGAGCTTTCACATGCTTTCACAACACCACTGCCTTAGGGAAAGGTTTCAAGCCTATTCGGTCAAAGCGGGAGAATGATTATGGAACCCATTCATGCTAAAAGCCTTTAAAGACACATTACCGGACTTAGTCCGTATGTACGGTAGTTCGAAAGAAGGCAGAAGTTATGCTATATCATCCATTGAGCGTTCTCGACAGATCGATCATCGTAGCTCCTTATCCTTAGGACGCCGTTGGCACTCGGTACTCGCAGGCTATCTCCGACGGCATACTTCAAGCCGCTCTACCCTCTGCAATTGAAAGCTCCTGTCACCTTATTTTTTCATTCACAGCCATCATGATGGTATCCTGTGCCAGGTCACTGTTGACTATTGTCTTCCCTTCTCGCTTTCCTACCCTCGGTGGTTGAGATTCACTTTCCGCACCTCGAATCTTGTTAAACTTCCTGTAAGTTATTTATTTGACGAAGGCAGAAACAAACACCGCAAGTATGTCTACGCAATTTCAGTTAGGGCGGGATACAACCTTTGAGTACGTTGGAGTTGCTTTCTACCTGAAACCCATAATGAATTGTAATGACTGCACTTCGAGATCGACCCCCAGCTCTGTAACATCTGGATTGCAGGATACCTTCCAATCCATCCTGAAAGAACGCAAAAGCTGGAAGACGCTTCGAGACGGCGAAATTGTGTGGCCTCCTCATATCGAAGCTGCTTTACTTGATGGTAGAATTGCTTTATTCCTTCTTGCCTAGGCTGATCGAAAGCGCCCTTCACAGGCCTCGCTAGCTATCAACGATACGACTCTGGCAAACATTCTGGACGCACCCCCATGAGAAATCGTTTTATTTCCGACTTCATTATGCACAAGACGGGCACATGGAGAACCGCTAAGCAAGTGGGTAGCCGTCTACAACGTCTTCGGGGGTGGCATGGTGGCACAAGATGTACGATCTCTTTCACTCTTTTCTGCACTTACATACATCCCCTTGACAGTGATGAATCTCCTTTCTCGCACTGGGAATAACGCTCCCGTCGATATTCAAACCAGCCAATGTTCTCTAATCAACCAGCTTACTACCGTCTTCCGAAGTAAAGGCCTCTATAAGAAGCTCTTGGAGTGCGAAACATTGGATGCCCAGATGTTACTAGATTCGTTTCAGCAGGTTCTCTAATGCATTCCATTAACAATTTTCACACTGACTTGTAAGTCTCTCAGCTTCTCGATTCACCAGACCTCGATCAAAGCTTTCGAAGGAAGCTCAACATTGCCACTCAAAGACTTTCGGCCAGATCAGGACTGCATCCAGTGTGTTACGAGTTGAAAGATATCACGCACCTCGACGAGTATCCGGTGAATGCAGGTGGTTTTGCAGATATATACAAGGCCAAGTTTCGTGGACACACTGTTTGCTTAAAGGCGATACGTCTGTATCAGAACG